TGGCTACTTAAATACAGCCATTTCTGCCTCACAGCTAGCCAGCTTCCTCCACTAACCGCTATCATCAGTTAGTCTTTAAATCTAGTGATCTAGTGACAGAGAACACACGGGTCATTAAAAATGCTCGGCCACACAAAGATGGTTCAGCATCCACCATGCACAGCCCTGGGTCACCTAGTCACTAGGCTACTAGGTATGTGCTTACGTCCTGAGAAAAGCTGGGACTCACAAATGATCTATACTTTTTACTTCATATTGTTTTTTATTTTCAGTACTACCATTTTTTAAAAAAAGAATTATCCATTTTATTTATTATTTTTAAGTTTGCTATACAGGGCATGTGTGCTTACCAGAAAAAAGAGTGAGAAAACAAGCCACCAGGTCCAGGAATCGAACTGTGGTTAGTCCAATGTCCCAACCACCATGCCACCCACTGCACCCAGTCCATTACCACCATTTTTTAACGCTTAGGGTCTTTAAAGGTTTTATTTTGGCTGAATGGGTTTAAAAAAAAATTATTCTCTAAGCTTTTAAGCTTTTGCTTGGTTTGACCAGCATAGGTTGGGCCAGCATGATGCAGGTCTTCAATGGCAGCCTTCCTGATGCTTACTGGGGCTTTGGGGAGAGTTCCCCCCCCCCCAAAAAAAAAAAAAAAAAAAAAAAAGAAGAAGAAGAAGAAAGAAAAACACCCAACAACTACCAGAAGTCAGGAAGCCATAGAGTAATTTGCTGCGGAATGGCATGGTCACCAGATGTTGGGAGATACTTTCCAACAGTGCAGTTAAAGACCAGGCATTCTCATTGTCCGCCTGAATTTATGTCAGAGGACCACTTTCTTCCCCTCCTTTCTAGAATGGGTATGAAGCTTTGATCCTCACCAGACTGAGGGACAGAACAAAGCTGTATTTTTAAATTATTATTATTGCTAAAAATGATGATAGATTCAACCACTGAAATGATCTTAAGTACTGCAGTTATAAATTGTCCCATTTATTAGTATTACTAATACTCATAAGGCTGCTTATTGGTTATCCACCAAACATTTTTGCCATAACTGGTAAAAGATACAGAATTTTGAAAGGTTAAAAAACAAACTTCAATGACACAGGATTACATGGAAGGCATGGAAAAATAAAATTTTGGGCTTGTGAAAAAATTTTTTTCTTTTGTTTCCTTTACATATATCTGTTTATTTATCTAGTTATTTGTTGTGATTTTCAAGCCAGAGGGTCTGGGACTCAAACCATGGTCAGACATATGGGAATCCAGCACCTTAACCACCATGCCACCTGCTGGCCTCTGCAGTATTTTCTTATGTACACAGATCTCATTAATCTTGATGATTAGGCCAGAAGGTTATTCCTCCAAGTCCCCAATGTTTTCACAACCAATGATGACTTTCTCCATTCCCATAGGCTGCTTTCATGAATGTTTAGTTACTAAAGGCTATTCCCAAGTTTTATGTACCTTACAGTTCTGTAGCAACGACGAATTTCTGCCATGGTTTGTCTTGTAACTTCATACTTGTATATATTTATAACAAAACTTACAGCAAGTACATATTCTGATAAATAAATACATATATACACAGGGAAAGAAAAAAATATATTTAAAATATGTAATATGGGACCAGCAGATGGCGTAGTGGTTATGTTGTTGTACTGTTGACTGTGGTTTGAATCCTGGACCCAGCAGCTTAAAACTCACATCAGACACATGTGTGCATGCCCAAATCCTGAGAGGAGAATGGAGGGGAAGGGATTGCAGCGTGGTCATCCTCCCAGGGGTGATTTCTTGCTTTTTGTCTCTCTCTCTCTGGCAAGTACATGTGCCCTACAGCGAAACTCTCTCAAAAAAAGAAAAAAAAGAGTACTAGGTCGTTAGGAAAGTCCTGATGTATTTTTCTATATTTTTCTATGTAAAAGAAAATACGTCAGGACTTTCCCGACAACCCTGTCTCTGTGTGTGTGTGTGTGTGTGTGTGTGTGTGTGTGTGTGTGTATGATCCCTATATACAACATGTGTGTATTTATGTAATATATATAGTAATATATATTTAATATATTATATACCAATATGTAATATATAAAAATATATGCATATACAATATACATTACATATATATGCACACACATATATATCTTTCTCCAGATATATGTATATATACATATGTGTATAAATGTATAAGAAAGCTTATTTGCATACATACATAAATCAGAGGAAGAAAAGTCATATTGAGATACAGAATTTGGTGAGGCAAGAGGCAAGCTTGGGCTTTTACTAGAAGTTGAAATATAAACACTCTGGAGTTTCCCTAAGATGCCTGGACTGTGTAACAGTCTTCTTTGTTCAGAGTAAGACTTCTAATCTTAGATTTGTGACACCCCTGGGTACCTCCAGATATCTCCCAAGGTGCTGTAAAATTCCCTTCACAGAATGCCAAGTAAAATAATTTAAATTCATTTAAAAAATATGCCACACATGTCTGGAGGCAAGGGAGGGTGTCCTGAAATCAAAAAAGAAGTGCTAAGTATTTCACATCTTGATCCCTGTCAATTACATTTTAGTCTAAACCAAATAAATAGACAATAATAAGTACAAGGAATTAAGCAAGTCTGTGTATGTGGTTTTGTGGTCAGGGAAGACAGGGAGGGAGGTGGTTACTTGGGTCACTGTTTTAGTGGAAAACCCTTTGGCCTTTTTTAACTCAATGATTGTCAGCACTGACTGGCAACTGCAGACCTAGTTCACAGCTTCTCTCTCCAACTTACACGAAGACCGTGGTGCTTTGAAGCTATCTTGAGGATCTCTGCACAGAATTAGTTTCTTTAAAACTAACTTAAGAGAACCACAGATACTGGCAGCTAGGCAGGGCAAACCCAACTTTGCAAGCAGCAGCTTCTCTGTTAGCTTCTCACTTAAATTGTTGACCTAAGGCCCTGAGGTTACACAGGGTTTTATATCACTACTCTGCAATATCCAATTCCCAACTTCCTTGGTCACCAAGAGGTTAGCAACTAAAACAACACTGTGGGTTGCCACTGGGAAGCAGCCTCACAGCCATTTTGATTTACTATACCTTCCAAAGCTCCAATAAAATAAGTCTCCTGATTGGTCACTGCCTCAGATTTCACTACTTTCTTCAGAACACCTACTTCAGTCATCTGATAAACCTGAACTTGGATTTCTTCTGGAACTGTCACACAAATAAGCACTCAGAAGAGACATCACTAAGAAAAAGTACCCATATTTTCATTAAATAGCCCTGCCTTTTCCCTGGAGAACTCAATGCAGTTTACTTTCCATTCTTCACATCATTGCCCATTTAAATTTATACCCACATTTAATATTACAGTGAGAAATTCATACTAAGTATTTTTTATTTCATTCCTTTCTTTTTTTTTTTTTTTTCTACAGGGCACATGTGCCCACCAGACAGAGAGAGGGAGAGAGAGAAAAAGTGAGAAATCACCCCTCTAGGGGGGATGGCCACACTGCAATCCCTTCTCCAGTCTCCTCTCAGGATTTTGGGTACACACACACACACACATACACACACACACGATATAACCATCACACCATTTGCTAGTTCCATCAGGTGCATGCGCCTGGCAAGATTTTCAAGTTGCTGGATCCTGGACTTGGACTACACAGTTGGCCCTGTGGGATTCAGCACCTATATTTCCACACCACCTGCTGGCTCCTTTATTTCATTCTTCTCAACCCTGTTAACTGCTTTCCAAGAAGACAGCGATTCCTTTTAAACTAGGCCTCTTCTAACACCTTCCATACATCACATGAAGAATGGAACATCTGCAAGTTATGAGCAGGAAGAAGGAAGAGACAAAGTACACTTGCCTTATTCGTAGCAGTAGCACTGGAGCCAGGGACCACCGGCACATTCGTCACTTGAACAGAAAGGTAATTATTATCTATGAGTGGCCAGGCCCCTTCCACCTTGCACGTTTGGAAGTGATCCTTGAAAGTTCTGAGATGAGGATCTCCAAACAAGCCACAGAAAAGGTAACTGGGAGGGTTCTGGTCCCCTCCCCTGTGTTCTCTGGCTCCTGCGTGGCTGTGGTAGTTACAAGGATCGTGGGTCACTTCAGGGTTGGTAGAGGATGTGGGTCCATCCTTGGAACAGTTCCTCTGGCTCATGAGGTCACTGATACCCAGCACAGCAGAATGGTATACCAGGTTGCCACGGCAGGCTTTCGAAGTTCGCTGAGTGCAGCCAGCATAGGCACGCAGGGCCTTGCAAAACTCAGAGTCAAAGCCATCAATGGCAGAGTTCAGGTGTGAAGTCAGAGACACGAAGTCCGTGGTACATTTCTGGATTCGACACTGGGCTGCCTGTTGGCAGTCACCTATGGGAAAGAAGATAAGACCACAGGCTTGTTAAGGTTTCATAACTTCCTGAGCTAAGGACGCTCTCCTCTGGAAACTTCTATTTCATACACTACTATTTAAAGAAGCCGTCAGAAATAGTTGCATTGTGCTCTTGTGTCTCTCAAATTAAGACACTGAGCAAAAAACCTGCATGCAGTTCACTTAAAACTTCAGAACACAGGCCACAGTGAGTGAACATGAGTCTGGTCCCTGTTCTTTAGTTAAAATGACAAGGGAATAGTAAACAAAATATTTTATCAACTTTGCTATTTGTTTATAAATTTTGAGAAAGATTCCTTTGCCCTGAAGTCAAGCCAAAGATATGAAATTTGTTTTGATTTAAAAAATGCCTGAGTAATTTGGTATGGAAAATATTATAAAAGCGGCACTATGCCCAAAACCATGATTAAAACCTTCACACCTCAGGTAGGGGTAGACTCCTAAATGATAGTATGATTAGCTAAAGCACCTTTACCCGACTGCATTGACAGTACAGTTGCAGGGTAAGAATATCAAGAAAAAGTACCCAGGCACTAAATTATTCCACCTTTCCTGAAGCATGTTTACCAATGATACAGAAGCTGACACAATTTCCTAGCTTTTACAAAATGTAAATACTTGAGAGGCCGGTAGGTGGCATGGTGGTTAAGGATGCTGGACTCCCACATAGCTGACCACGGTTCAAATCCTGGATCTGGCACCTTGCTTTCTCACTCTCTCTCTTGCTCTGTCCCTCTCTGATAAAACAAAACAAAACAAAATTAAAATAAAAAATAAAATAAAGTTAATTAAAATAGTTCTTTAAAAAAACAAAACAAAACAAAATGTAAATACTCTATTTTAAAAAAATTAAAGTAATTCATTTGACCAAGCTAAGTATTTACTTCTCCCTAACATCCACCCTTCATCACCTTTGGATCCTAGCTCCCAAGCAGATTATAAATACACTGAATAAAAAGTATACATCAAATTAGGCTGCATAGACAAATGATCCCAACCATTTTTTCCCCCCAGAAAAACAATCAGGGAACTATTATAACGTATATATAAACCTTACCTTTCCCCTTAAAGTAATGATTAAGTTGCTTCTTGTTTGTTTTTAGATTTTTTGCTATAGGGCATGTGGGCTTCGCTTACTGGGGAGAGAGAGAGAAAAAGAAAGGGAGAGGGAGTGAGAAATCACCCCCAAGGGTTGTGGCCACACCCAAGGCCTCTCTCCTCAATTTCCTTCTTGGGATTTTTGGGCATGTGCTCTCCTGAGCTAGTCAAGTTTTTTAAGCTGCTGCATCCAGGACTTGAAACCACCCAGTCAGCTGTATGAGGTCCAGTTCGCCTAATTTTCACCTCACCTGCTGGTCCAGGTTGATTAATTAACGTTTAAACTCTGATTCAAACAATGCTAAAATGAAGTAATGAGGTTTGTCTTAGCCTCCAGCAGGTAGCATGGGGGTGAAGGCCCAGGGTCCCACATGACTGAATGTGTGGTTCAAGTTGTGGACCCAGCAGTTTGAAAATCATGCCAGTCACATGTGTGCATGCCCAAAATCCTGAGAAGAGACTGAAAGAGAAGGATTGGTGTGTGGCCATGCCCCCAGGGGGTAATTTCTCACTTTCTCTGTCTCTTTCTGGAGAGTGCACATGCCCTTTAGCAAAAACTAAAAACAAAAAGAACAACAAAAAAGGTAATGAAAATGCAAGTATTACTGCCCTATATTGGAAAAAAAAATCAATTTACAAATGATTTTTACCACTAGCCTCTCAATGCAACACATACACACACACACAAACTGTCTATACTAAGCGAATTGTGTGCTCCAATCAATTTAATATTCTGATCCATAAAGTGGAAACAATAGACTTACTGAAAGAAGTACTTTTATCACTAACCTCAAATTTTATAGAAATGAACTGGAATACACACGTGCATTACTTATTTCTTTATAGGTCTTTAAACTATGGAGGAAGTCTCTTAAGTTCTTATAGATTCCTCATCTGAGAAATGAGAAGGCTGTTCTAAAATACAATTTGTGCTTTTGCTAGGCATAAAACATGTTATATTTTGCCTTCTAAAAAATGAGAAAAAAAAAAACAAAATCGGGGTCAGTAGATTATCATGAAATAGATACATTTTTCAAGGTATGGGCAAAACAAACTTCTGAATTATATTAAGATTTGCAACTTTATCTAATAAAAGACTTAGAATTAACCCTAATAGTGTCTTAGGAAGATATTTTATGATTTTTCAGAAATAAATTGCTCTTAAGTCAGAGTTTAACAGAGAGTCATCGGTTTCTGGCTTTCATTGGGAGAACAGGGTGGGGAGGTGACCACCTTTGAAGACAACTGTCACCATTCTAAAATTTCAAAGACCCAAGAGGAGAAAACATGGCGGTATAGTTTAGGTATTCACTTTTACCTGAATAAAGAGAAGATTAGAGCATTTCAGTATTTTGGCGCTATGGGTTTACAGCAGTCGCTAAATCACACTTTAAAAAAAAAAAACCTTCATGTATTTACCTATTTTATGTTTACTCCACTCAATGTTGACAAAAGTGGCTCTGATATTTATAGATTTCCTCCTCCCAAGCAGATCAAGCCATTCTCAGCTATTTTTACTCAAAAGAATAAAAACAAAACAAAAAAAAGCAACCAAACAAAAACTCCAAAACACTTAAGGCCATTTTAGAGATGGAAAAGCCAAGGCAAAGGGCCGCTCTGACTGGACAGGACACTCCTGGCATGAAGTTGTCCAAACATGGTGCTTTCTTCAAATCTTGTTTTCCTTCCACCACAGGTCACACTCCCCTCATTTTTTCCTGACTCTAACAGTACTTGATAGCTGAAAAAAAGACCTAAATAACTACTGCATTATTTTTCTTTTTAAATCAGATTCACAACAAGCAGAAACCAAGAATGTAACATCACTCAGTAAGGAGCAGGTCTCAGAATACAAATAAACGACAGCACAAGAACTTTCCGCTAATCTTGCAATGCCTATTTGCTCTTTTTATGGTCTATAAAATCTATCTGCGTGAACCTTTCCTTATAATTATTTCAAATAGCCATAAAATATCAGAAGTAAGACGAGCATGAAAAGGCAGATGACACCATTCGGAAGAAAGAGAAGCAGAACTTAGGTTCCCAGTTGCCTCTGTTCTTTCCTCTCCAACCTCTCCCTTTTGCATGGCGGGTAGGTGCTGGCTGCTTTGAGAAATGCCACATAAAACACATCTCCCGGTTCCACTGCTTTGGATAAGGTTTCTAATAGACTCTTGCTTTAGAGATGAGGGGAGGGAGGAGGGCTAACTAGAGAGGAAGTGGGTTTGGGTCAGCATTTTTGGCTTCATCGCAGGCTCCTGCATAATGACTAATTTGTTGCATACACCCAGAAATACCCAGGCTTCATGAATTTATAATGACAATGCACACTTTGCCTGTGACAGGCGGTAAAGTAAGCCTCTTGTCAGAGTGCCAAGACAATGCAGAGCAGAAACAATCTCAAGGATGTAGCGAAGAAGGCCATGAAGTGTATGAGTAAGCAAGTAACTCCCATGTAGAAGCTCCATTCGGGAACTGCAAAGGTTTGCTTTTTAAAAAAAGAAAAGAAAGGAAAAGAATTCTCTTCACTTCCCAAGGGCAGAATTCAAAATCTGCAGTGACACATTTCTCTATTTTGGGGTCAGATCATCTATGATCAGTGTGACAGTATTTTCATGCCAGTTATTGAAAAGTGCAAAAGGATTTGTGGGTCTATAGCTTTCATGTTGTCATTTTTTAATGAATCAGACATAAGGCCCTCACCACTTAAGTCAGCCTCCTTAACACCAGAACTGCCCGTGTGAGTGTGCAGCACAATCACCAGTCTATAATACAAGAAAGGAGATATGCCGAGGCTGAATGAAGAGAAATGTGGAGCCAGATGGGGTGCTGAGGCCAATGATAGGGATCCAGACATAAAACATATGGTAGTCCATCTGCAAAGAGGCCTGGCAGCTCCCTGCTCTGAGAAACCACCCTGGCATTTCCATAGCAGCACTCTTCAAAGAGCTCTCTCTGAAGGACCCCTCTTTTCTATAACCACATTAATTGTTCCACTCCAACAGTAGTCCACAGAAATCATTTACCACAGCACTTCGCGTGGAAGCTAGTGGTGACTTTAACAAGGACACATTAAGATACTGAGAGGAGCTTCACATTCCAATTGCTGCACTAAGGCACCTTAACTTTCTAAATCTTTTAACTAACTGCTTACGCCTTTCCTAAGCCAACAAAAAAAATGTGCCAGGACTACATTGCAGCGTCCTCAGAGGATGGTATGGCAACTATGGGAAACAATACTGAAGCATTCTCACCTAGCCGTCAATCTCCCATTTCATGGACCACAGAGTTGACATTATGGGCACGTTTATCACACGAAACACTCCAGAATATTACCTCTTCACACAACAAGAAAAATTTCCAGTGTAACTGCCAGCACATTGACATGATTTTCTAAGTTCTCCCTTACTGACTCAGAGCCTCAATCACTGTAAAACTTGCTATGACACTCTTCTTTTATGAAGACTTCCGGCTATTTCTCTAAGTGACAGTGTTAAAATGCAGCTGTTACCTCACAATGCAGTTACAAAGTAAATTAAGTCGTCTCCTTCAATGCCACATATTTTTCCATTACTTAAAAGACCTCCCAGATTTTCAGCGTGGCTGGTCTGACTTAAATAAATAAGTAAAAATTACTCCGCATAGTTGGGTAGCATTAAACTTCAGGATTCCCCAGATCATAGCGTTGTGACTGCTGTCCTATTAATACAGGACCAAAAAAGGCCTCAGAGGAAAAGAAATTGACGCCGTTTGTCTTTAAACTAAAAGATTGCTCCTCTTTCAATTTCCGCATTTAAAAAATTCTTTGTCTAAGCAAATCCTAAAAAGAAATAGTATTTATTTGTAAGCGGCGTCTTCGATTTTAATCAAATGATTGTAAAAGAGCTCATCTCACTGCTACTCTGGTCGGCGACGTGCGGATCTGTCAATTCCTCGCGGGACCAGAAAACACGCAGCTAAGTTCTAAAGCACATTTTTTTTTTCCACAAAGGGAAGAAAACGGAATTAAAAGCAGCTTTTGCAAAAAACTTATGAGATCCCCTTTCTGTGGAAATGAGTTGACACTATTTAGAGAAGAACCCCTCCGGTTTTCAAACTGGTGAAAATCTTCCCATTCGGTGCAACTCCTACGCCTCGCCGCCACCCCCAACCCCAGAGTAGCAGCACAAGGCTCCTTGTCTCCGCTCCCAGGCGGCGGCGGCGGAAACCTGATCCGCGCCTGACTTTCGGTAAACACCAATGCAGAGAGCAATAAAGCATCCGGAACATTTGTCTCGCGCGCAGCCCCCGCCCGCGCAATCTCTGATAAGCGGCGGATGGAGGGGATTTATCAACTGATCGAACCGACCGTAGGGAAGGCGGGTGGAGCAGAGCGCTCCCTGGCGCGCCGCGCCCGGGCCAAGGTGCGCGTCAGGGACTCGGGAGGCCTGTCCCGTCGCGCCACGCCGTCCTTCGCCCGGCGACCGCCTTTGGCACTCTGGCTGCTTGGGAACAAAGCCCGAGGCCCGAGACTGGTTTCCGTCACGCGCGTCGTACCTGCGTGGAGCAGCCCGAGGCTGAGCAGCAAGAGCAGC